GTAGAAACAGCAAAAGGTTCTCTTCGATACCCCTTACTCTTGTAATTCACCAGCAAAGGACTCTGGACTGGATCCAAAGAGGGATCCTAGGGTGTCCCAGATTCTGTCCTCAGATGCTCAGAAAGAAAAGACAGCCCAAGGGTCCCAGAAAGCCTGGCACCTGAAAAAGAATCTCCCTGGTGCCAACCTGTCCCCCTCCCCCAGCAGAACCCAAAGCGGGCGCTGGCAGCAGGAAGCTGGGGAAGGACCGGGAGGTACACAGGCCCCACAGTGGAGCTGTGATTACAGGGACCTGTCCCTCCCGCCCCCGGCTCCCACTCTCATTAAGTCATTTTTTCCCCTGTTGGAAAGTCCCCGTGCCTTGAGCGCAAGGGATGGGGCGACCGCAGGCAGCTGCCGGCAACTGGCAAGTGATCTTTGAAGGCCCTTCCCTTTTAGGTCCTCTTGGGCGACTGAAAAATCAGATGCTTGGGTTCTCGTCACACTCCATCATGCAGTTTCTCCCTGACCTTTAACCCCAGCCTCATTTGCTGTTCGTTCCCTCCCTCCCTCTTTTGAGGGAGGGAGGGAACCCCACTCAGTTCTGCCCTCGAAGAAGCAAGCTGGTGTTTCTCAGGTAAAAGGTGTAGCGGGGCAAAGGATGTCTTTTCTTCCTTGGAATGATCCCTGGTCCCTTTCCGTTCACTTTCTAAATTTCCCCTCTTCCGATACCCAAGTTCTCCAGCTCACCTCCTCCCTAAATAAATGAAGTGCATTCATTTCAGCCCATTTGCACTTACTTCCAATCAACATATCATTCCCACTGCACCCTTCAGTCAGTGTACAGAAGCCCAGCATCCATCTTCCCACCTTAGGGGACCCAGCCTTGGTCCCAGTGAGGCTGGATAGTAACTTAAGGGAATATAACTTTGTCCCTTTCCCAACTTTGCATGTCACACTAACTAGCATATATCAGACCACTGACTGCCCACTGGAACTCCCGGATAGCTCAGTGGCCTGTTCTCACTCCATGCAACATGTCCTGCAGTGTGCTGTTTCCGCCTTATTCTCAAACGCCATCCCATAATGCTCACTTCCAGTCTCTCCTTCCCAAGTTCTGAAAGGGCAGAGGGCGAGGTCAAGGCTGATGCTGTAGTGGATGCTGCTGGGCTTTGGGGCTATTCCTCTGTCCTCCAATTTCCCCAGCACACCTCTTCTCCGTAGGCTGGGAGGGAAGAAGGGGAGCCCAGCCCCTACAGTTCTCTCCTGGATGAACAAGACGAAAGGAATGAAGCAGGTGTGTCTGTCTGCTCCTGCCTACCCCTCCTCCCGCAGAGACACTCAGCCACCTGCCTGTGGGGCAGCTGGGGGGAGGGAGGGGGGTTGTCCAGAAACCCTGCTTCTCCACAAAGGCAGCAGAACTGGGCATTTGAAAGGTCGTGATGCCTTAGGCATGCCTAGGAGCTGCTGAAATCCGGCAGTTAAAGGACAGGGAGCTGAGAGCTATAGAATGGACCCAATCTTCCATCTGGAGGGCCAACAGAGGTGCGTGTTCCAGGGTCACCCCCTCAAGGGATAAGGCCAAAGAAATATGGGGAGGTCTCTGTGCAAACTGGCCTTTGGAACAAGACTTCGTCTCTGCTTGGTTTGTTAACATGGATGCCATTAGATGATAAACAGAGGCATCCAGCAAGGTCAATAACTGAACAATGGACCTGGATATGGCAGATAAACCGTTCTGTCTGAGATCTTTAGGGTCTGTTCTAGAAAGTCATTAGACTTGAGCCAAAGTGAATACAAGCTTGAACCCAAATTCCAGCTCAGCAGTGTCCAGGTGGAAGCATAAAATCAGGGAGGGGTTTTAACCTGCTAGGTGACACCTTGAGCTTTGACTCTGGGGGATGGGGAGCTTAGGAAGACTGCTTTCCCACCCCCAGCTTTCCTGCCTGAACTCCAGAGCCCAGCCCCAGACGGTGAGTCTGCCACCCTCCCCCACCTCCCAATTCCCAGCCGCACCTCCTGGCCCCACCTGCACCCTGGGGCGCTAGGCTGGGTTGAGCTGGGTCTTGCCCAGGATTACTCTTCTCAGAGTGCCTCCTGTCTCTGCTGTCGGTTGCTGCTGGGCACAGCCACTCGTCCTGGCTTGTGGCAAAGGGCTCAGGTACAAAGTGGGCGGTTAGAGTTCTGGCATCGAGGGCTCTCGGTCCCTGGATCCCATTCCTTCTAGACATCCCTACTGCTGTCATTCAATCCAAGCTTCGGCTAGGTATTGGCTGTAGTCCCCATAATCCGCTGTCTCACTATCATCTTGTTTCCATTTCATCCAGATCCCCGTACCAGTGGGGATCAGAGCACAACTGCTTTCTGACTGCTTGCTTCTTCTCTGCAGATTCTTCTTAAATACAACCCAGTTCCTATCAGAGCTGCCTCCAACCTCCAGTCTCTCCTATCAGCTTTTGATCTCTACTGTCCAAACATAGAGGCTGCTCTGCTACTCCTCCAACAGGTGGAGGTCTCTCTCCCCCCGGAGCTTTGGGTTCCTGTAGCCTGTCTGGAAAGTCCTTTCCAGTCTCCGTAAGGCTCTTTCTCACTTTGCAGTTTTCAGCTTATAAAGCATAATTCAGAAGTCTCCCTGACAGATAGTTTTAGCATAAAGGGCCCCATTCCCCACAAATCAGCGTATACGCAGAGAGAGCCCTGCTTAGTTGTTCCCATAGCCCATAACACTGCCTGAAATAACCTTTGTTTGTGTGTTTACTCGTTTATTGTCCACCTCCCTTAGTAAGCCTGTAAACTCCAGAAGGCTTCTTTTTCCCCAAAGAGTGCCACAAAGAGAGTGCAAAATAAATATCTGTTAAATGAGCAATAGGGGCAGAAGCCTTCACAGGAGGGTATCTGGGGCTTATAGAATCACTTCAGTCTGATTATGCCTATTTCTTCATTTTAGTTTACTTCCCCCGAGCCCATCAGCTTCATTGCACTGCCTGCCATTCCGGGGGGGAAAGGGAGAAAAGATGACAGAAAATAGGCCTGCCAGGCTGGGCTGCTTTGGTGACATGTCGAGGGTGTGGGGGCAATCTCCAACATCCATCACTCCCAGCTGTCCGAGCTAGGAGCTTGAAGAGGGGAACCCACAGAGTGGGTGTCAGTCAGGTCTAGACTGTCTGGTGATTGTAGATTTTGAGAGCAGGAAGAGCCAACCACCTCTCTCAGGAGCCAAGGATGCTGCTGCCTGAACCAGACCGCTAGCGGCAGAGGCCAGGCACCACCAGATGGAGAACCTTCCCTGAGACCCAGAGGAGCCTGGGCCCGCTCACTTGCAGACGCTGACCCACTCAGTGATTCGGCATTCTTCGCAGACCACGAAACAGCACCAGTGGAAACGGCAGTGGCAGCGCTCACTGCGCGTCTGGCGCAGGATGTTGTGACCGCGGCCACAGCACATGCTGCCGCAGCCGTCAGGGCCTGAGCTGCTCTTATTGCACAGGCGGCCTACTGTGCCCGCCGAGTCCAGGCGCGGCTCGCGCTCACAGAAGTCGGGAGATTTCTCAAAGTAGACCAGGTCGGAGTGGCTGGCCTTTGGGCTCAGCCCTGGAGTGCCGGGAGCTGGCGAGGGTGCCCCAGCGGCGGGGCCGGGCTCCAGCTGGCCACCGTTACGGTTGTGTGGTCGGATGAGAGTGGCGCGGTGGAAGCGATTGCGCAGCAGCGCCCCCACTGCACGAAATTCAGGAGTCACCTGCCAGCATGTCTTGAGCTGGCAGCTGCCTGAGGTGCCATGGCACTTGCACTTTCTCCGCATGTTCTCCATCACCGCCTGCAGAGGGAGGCACCGAGAGGCATGAGGCTGACATCCAGCGTCCCAGCCCTTCTCCGGCCAGAGGCTGGAAACCGGTTCCCATTGTACAGAAGCAATACTGAGGTCTGAATCTGGGGCTCAGAACTTCTTCAGGCTCTTCTGCAACCTTCCCACCCACCTCCCATCCGGCTAGGCCATGGGGGAATTCCCTCCTTCGAGCTCCTTCCTTGCCAGACTTTCCAGCAACTGCAAGGGGGCCCTTGGGCCTGGGGGTTCTTGCTTCCTGAGCCCTGGGGGATCCTAAATCTTCAGGGAAATTCCCTCTCCTTTCCCTGGAGCAAGGAGGCGCCTGCTCACCTACATCCCAACCCCAAAGCCTTTGGCCTCTCTCCAGGTGGTGAGTGAGGAAGGGCCCCTTCCACAGCCACCCAGCTTCCAGCTGTGCCCTGCAGCTCTTTGCAGGGAACCAGGTGTGGGGAGAGGACAGGAGCTAAGGAGACATTCCCCTTCCCACTATACCAACTCGAGCTTTCTCTGTTCCTACTGAGTGACAACAGGTGCCAAAGCATCCCCCGATGATGTAGAACAAAACCCAGACAGCTAACTTGTCAGCCCTCTGGGAGCAGATGGGTTCCCAGGTCTCTATGGGACACCTACTTGTTCTACAATCTCCTCCCAAAGAACCCCTTAGTGTTACCCTCATAGACACCCCCATATTGTCCATGTTCTCCACCACCCCCATTTCAAATACTCGGAAGGAAAATAAGGATCTGGGTTCTTTAAAACTTCTCAAGAAGGCCATAAGGCAGGGAGCCTACTGCTCTGGGTGTTGAATTGCTGCATAGCCTGCATGTGTAGCCTGTGGTGTCAGCGCCACGTGGGAACTGCCCCCCCCACGCACACACACACTCCACAGCCCCCCCCCATAGCTTCCCTGGGCTAGCAGCTCCAGAACATCTGCTTCCCACAGGCTGCAGCCATTAATTAACCACTTTAACAAGGACAAGGAGGAGGCCCTGCTGGCCTGGGCTGGGGTGGTATCAGGACCTTGGGAAAGGAGCCTCATGCACAGGGCATGGCTGGGTGGGAGCTGGATGAGACCTGAGGGTAAGCGTGCCTCAGTTCACCCTCACCCTAAGCGAAGATGGAAATTGCTGAATCAGCTGTAGAGAGGGAAGATGAACTGGAGTAGGCTGAGAGGCCAAGGGGAGAAGGGGATATAGTGAGAGAAGCTGGGGACTGGGCTGAGCAGACTGGAAGGGTCTAGAAGAGGACCAAGGAAGGAAAGTGCTCCATTGACTGGGCATGGAGCCTGCCTCTCTACACTTTCCCACCTCAGGCAAGTTTCTTAGTCATCCTGTGCCTTGGTTTCCATATCTGAACACGTTATTAAGAGTGTTGACATTATAGGTAAGTAGTAGGTATGCTGATCGCTCAGGACACAGAAGAAGGTTTAATAAATTCAATCTTATTCTTTTCCTTCCTTCTGTGTTTGTGTGTCTGTGTATCACTATTAGTGGTGTTACTTTTACACGAAGGAACTTTAAGGTAGTATGAGCATTCCAGAAAAAGGAGAAAGAAGGTAGGGACCTATAACAGAGGCCCTCAGTCGGCAGGAATCCCCTGCTGGGAGACCGAACTTAAAGCCCAAGACTGGCAATCTCAGGCTCTTAGAGCCATAAAGCATTTAGAGCTGGCTATATGATGGGTGATCTTGTTCAACGTTCTGGCTCTCCAGCGGAAACTGTGGCAGCCCAAGTCCTGAATGCCAGCCTACTCCTTTCTGTGTTGGTCATCAGAGAAAATGGGAGGAGCAAAGTTGTTCCACTTGGGGCTCTTTCAACCCTCTGTTTCCCAGGCCCATTACTATGTCCCAGCGCACAGTACTAGGTCCCCACGGCATTCTTGCTGGCTGAATTAAGAGAGGGCTGCGAGATTACTGAATTGGGGAAATGGTATGATTTCTAGAAGGGGGAGCTACCGGAAGTGAATGCAGAGCCCCCTTAGCAGTGGGAGCATGACCATGAATCTCACCTGCCTGCCGACACGGTTGTTGTGGAGTCTCATGCGCGCATGGATGTCTCTATGAGGCTCCCGGGAGTCCAGAAAGTCCTTGGAGAAGCGTTCTCCGAAACCCACATCTGGGCTGCAGCCACCCCACTCCCAGGAGTCCTGCAGGCCTGGGCTGGCAGGGGGCAAAACAGGGTGTTCTGGGACCCCGTGGCTCAGGCCCTTACCGCGCTGCAGCGCATCCAGCTGCAAGCGGTGCAGCTTCCGACGGAAGGCTTCTTCGTCCCCACGCCTGGAGGCGTCGCAACCGCAAGCCTGTAGTTTACCCAGGGCGCACGCGTTGGACACTGCGTGTACCACCCCGGCAGCAGCTATGGCATAGGCGAAAGCACTCTCTCGAAAACCTATAGCAAGGGATTGGAGAGGTGGCTCAGCGATTAAGAGCACTGGCTGCTCTTCTAAAGGACCTGGGTTCAATTCCCAGCACCGACAGGCAGTTTGCAACTGTTTGAACTTTATTAAGAGTGTTGACATTATAGGTAAGTAGTAGGTATGCTGATCGCTCAGGACACAGAAGGTTTAATAAATTCAATCTCTTATTCTTTTCCTTCCTTCTGTGTTTGTGTGTCTGTGTATCACTATTAATATTAAGAGTGTTGACCATTATAGGTAAGTAGTAGGTATGCTGATCGCTCAGGACACAGAAGAAGGTTTAATAAATTCAATCTTATTCTTTTCCTTCCTTCTGTGTTTGTGTGTCTGTGTATCACTATTAGTGGTGTTACTTTTACACGAAGGAACTTTAAGGTAGTATGAGCATTCCAGAAAAAGGAGAAAGAAGGTAGGGACCTATAACAGAGGCCCTCAGTCGGCAGGAATCCCCTGCTGGGAGACCGAACTTAAAGCCCAAGACTGGCAATCTCAGGCTCTTAGAGCCATAAAGCATTTAGAGCTGGCTATATGATGGGTGATCTTGTTCAACGTTCTGGCTCTCCAGCGGAAACTGTGGCAGCCCAAGTCCTGAATGCCAGCCTACTCCTTTCTGTGTTGGTCATCAGAGAAAATGGGAGGAGCAAAGTTGTTCCACTTGGGGCTCTTTCAACCCTCTGTTTCCCAGGCCCATTACTATGTCCCAGCGCACAGTACTAGGTCCCCACGGCATTCTTGCTGGCTGAATTAAGAGAGGGCTGCGAGATTACTGAATTGGGGAAATGGTATGATTTCTAGAAGGGGGAGCTACCGGAAGTGAATGCAGAGCCCCCTTAGCAGTGGGAGCATGACCATGAATCTCACCTGCCTGCCGACACGGTTGTTGTGGAGTCTCATGCGCGCATGGATGTCTCTATGAGGCTCCCGGGAGTCCAGAAAGTCCTTGGAGAAGCGTTCTCCGAAACCCACATCTGGGCTGCAGCCACCCCACTCCCAGGAGTCCTGCAGGCCTGGGCTGGCAGGGGGCAAAACAGGGTGTTCTGGGACCCCGTGGCTCAGGCCCTTACCGCGCTGCAGCGCATCCAGCTGCAAGCGGTGCAGCTTCCGACGGAAGGCTTCTTCGTCCCCACGCCTGGAGGCGTCGCAACCGCAAGCCTGTAGTTTACCCAGGGCGCACGCGTTGGACACTGCGTGTACCACCCCGGCAGCAGCTATGGCATAGGCGAAAGCACTCTCTCGAAAACCTATAGCAAGGGATTGGAGAGGTGGCTCAGCGATTAAGAGCACTGGCTGCTCTTCTAAAGGACCTGGGTTCAATTCCCAGCACCGACAGGCAGTTTGCAACTGTTTGAACTCCAGTTCCTCAGCGATCTGACACCTTTACACATACATGCAAGCAAAGTACCAATGCACATAATTTAAAAATAAATAATTAAAGAAAAAGAAAACCTGTTACAAGAGACCAGGAAACGGCTGAGGATATACTTGGATGTAGATGGGCTTATTCGCGTGCTGTGAGATTCAAAAGCGGGTGTAGGGGAATTGAAGAGGGGACAGGAATTACACTCCCTTCTCTTTTTCATTAACACCGCCTTAGCAAGCTTGGGATTTGTTTGTCTAGATCTTTCCTCCAGGGCAGAAGGTACCTGGCAAACACATTCTTTTTCAGATCAGGCACTTAATCTATTACCTTTCACGGTGATATCTGCAATTTTAAAACAGCCTGGAGAAAGAGGGTGAAGTTTAACCCAAGAGTAAATTACAAGTAATGGAATTCCAGACCCCAGGACATGCCAGTGGGCAGCAGACTAAGATCATCTGCCCTACTCCATCCTGGAACCCTCCCTCCCTGATGGTTTTTATCTAGTCCACAGGACATGGCTGAAAAAAGTGAGTGCCCTCTTATATCCTAGCCACCCTGTTCTGTATTGGGTCTGCTGGTAACTTCTGAAGGGAGGTGCAGGTGAACCCAGTGGCATCTGGCATGTAGCAGGCAGGGCTGCAAACTGAGTGGGAAGATGGATTCTGCATCTCATTAGAGTCTTAGGAGGCAAAAGAACTCTCTCTGATTGAGACACTCACAGGGCCCTAGGATGTGCTAACCTAGCCCGGTGCCTGTATGTACTGTTTTCCTTTTGGGTACCCCAGCCTGAGCCATCTCCTGAGAGGGCCCTGGACCTGTACCAGGAGAGGCCTACTCAGAGAAGTAGGTCCGGCTCTCAGACCTACAGGATACTTTCTGCTTATTCTCCACTGGGAAAGTGCTAGCTAGAAGCAGCTTTTAGTAAAAGTCTGTGTCTCATCTATGGACCCTGGAGAGGGCAGGCAATGAGAGAAGCCAGAACTGCCTTGACAAAGTGAAGAATCCACTTGTGCCAGACCCCTGCAGAAGAAACCCAGAACGTGGCAGGAGGGTGATGGCCTTAGAGGACATCAGAGGTTTGTTTACAAGAAACAGACAGGCAGGATCCTCCCGCCCCAGAATCAAGGGCTGGGAGGACATGTCCTCAGAGAGGCCTTCCAGGCTCTAGAGAGCCATCTGGGACTAGATAGAACCTCTAGCCCATTCCTGCCCTAAGCTTCTCCCACTGCAACACGAAGCTGAATCCTCCTCTTGCCCAGACAAATGATAATAAATATTCCATGGGTTTGTTTGTTTGCTTGCTTGCTTTGATTTTTAGCAGCTAAGAGTTGATCATCTGCAGTCATATTGCTAGGGTTTCAAGTCTTGGCTCTTCTACTGACTAGTTGCTAATAACTATACGACCTTGGCCAAAAGACTTAACCTCTTTGTGCCTCAGTTTCCTTCTCTGCAAGCATGTGTTATTATCTAGCTGGTCGCTGTGCCAAGAATCGAACAAGTTATTAAATTTAAAGTACTTGGAATGGTGTCATACTCATAGCAAGTACTACATAAACATTGCTGTTATTAAGAAGTTCTTCTTGTTGTCTGATCTCCTTCACTTCTGCTACATTTTTTACATCATTGTTTTTTTGTTTCACCCTGATCAAAGACAGAGTCTAGCAGCTCATGACCCACGTCTAGAACAAATCATTTGGATTAGTGGAAGCCTACAAAGCAGATGCTCCCTCTTCATCTTCTCTTTCTAGCTCATGACATCCTGGCAACATGTTTCTTTTTTATAAGGAGCATAGCGAGGACCAGACAGGAGGGGATGAAGATTGATCTGCAGCCTTCAAAGGGGATCCTGGAACTTGGCAAAGGCTTCAGGGGAGCAGAAACTGCTGTGAGCTGGTGGAGCCTAAGGGTAAAGGGTAGACCCAAAACTCAGGGACATGCACCCTGCATTTATCCCCTGCCTTTTATCTTTGGAGCTCTAAGCATGTCTCTTATTGCTGGGAGAGTCATCAGCCTGTCTGCTTTAGGACACATGGCAATACTCAGACTTCCAGAGGCAGCCTAAACCTCGACACCGCCTCCCTCCAAAACACATACCACACACACACACACACACACACACACACACACACACACACACACTATGCAAACTGGGAAATCTCAAAGCCACTGAAGTTATGGAGCTGCGCAAGCCCCCACTTAGCTCCATTCACCTCCCAGGGCCAGCAATTTTCTGCTGAGGGACATGGGCTCCAACCTAGGTACTCTTCCTACTGAGAAAGAAACCCAGACGTCCCAATTTCCAGTTCCTATGACTCTGTACGGACTTGGCATTAAGTACAAAAGGGTATTTCAGGAGCAACTACATCTTCAAGGTTTTGGCATGGTGAAGATAGGCATGGAAGAATCTAGAAAAACGTAACTCACAACCTTAGAGAACTCTATTTACCCCATGCAACTCAAGATGCCTTCCCACTACATGTTTCCGATAGCTGTCTCAGCGCAGCCAGCAGCCACGTGTAGAGGTGACCAGGGCATGTGTGGCCACTCTTTGCTCTAAGCATCCATACTCAAAGAAGTCCAGCCCACTGGGTCTGCCCCAGCTCCCATTCAGGGCCCCAGTTTCGGTCTTGGCCCCAACTGTCTGGGCAGATGCAGGCACTGTGCCATCTGGCCAGCTGGAGGGGGGAAAGGGTGGGGCCATGGCCAGCTGGGCTGCCCGGAGCAGAGGGGGGGGCTTGTTAAGATGCACAATTAGCCGCCCTGCCTTTGATCTGGGACAGAGACTGCCAGCATCTAAGTGGAGTCAGCTGCTACTATAGGCTGCAGCCAATGGCCAGGAAGGGGGCCTGGGGAGTAGGCTTGGAGGACAGGGGAGTATGAAGGGAAGATGATTTAGGGGCCAGTGGGAACAAGGAGGGGCCAGAGAAGCTTAAGCTCTGCCCATTCAAGTCAAAGAGAGAGGAAGAAAGAATAGAGGCCTGGTCCCCATTCACTCCTAGCAAATCATCTATGCATATTCCTAAGCCTGGGGTAGAAGGGAGAGAGGGGAGAAGGGAGAGAGAGAGAGAGAGAGAGAGAGAGGGAGAGAGAGAGTCCTGTGCATGTGGGAACACTTAGGCAGAGTGGGTTTGTTTACACAAACATAGGTGTGTGTATTCACTTCTTGGAGTACTTGAAGTACACTCTCATTGCTTCAGCTCACCTCGGGGGGGAAGGTGGGCTGGCCTCATAGTTTGGGATGCAGTATAGGACAGGGTTGGGCAGGACCTCTAAAGTCAGGTGAACTGCGTGAAGTCCTGGCTCTCCTGCTCATTTATAAACTGTATGACTAACAACACATTACCCAACCTCTCTTAACTTCATCTGTAAAGATAATAATGGGACCTACCAAGTGGGGGCCATTTGAGGACCCTAAAACATGGATACCTTGTTTTACTACAATGCCCAACACATACTAAGTGCTTAAGACATGTTTGCCAGTTTATTGGGATGTCATCAAAATACTGGGGCTTTAGATGATCCTGAAGTATGATTATCTGTGTCTCTGTTTCCCTTCGTGCCACTGCATTCCCCAAACCCTGGATACCTGCTCTTAAAGTCATACTAAAACAATAGAGAAGGAAAGAAAGAGCAGGACATTGTGGTGCAGGCTCTGGCTACTTAAACTAATTTGTCCTGCTGTAAGACATCAGACCCCTTCTTTCCATCCATTCCAAATGTGTCTGGGCCTTAGGGCCAGCAGCACCTACCTAACAGTGGCAGCTCTTCTGTGAATCTGCCACACTCCCCTCCTCTATCTCTCTCTGATCTCTCACTCCTAACACACCAGGACTTAAGCTCAGGCCCCCTCAAATCACTGCCTTGTCCTCACCCACTGAGGGACTAATGGGAGGGTTCTCTGCCCATCCCCTAACAGATGTGATGTCCAGCACCCAGCAGTCACCAACCAGTCTGAGATCATAGAACAAGATCCTGAGGGTTAGCCTCTGATAGAACACTGTGTGTGTGTGTGTGTGTGTGTGTGTGTGTGTGTGTGTGTATCAACAGGCTCCATAATGATCACAATGAGATAGGGGAAGGAACCAGGTAGCCTGGGGCTGGCCTCCACCAAGAGTTGCCCTGTGGAACTCAAATTTAGTGAGTCCTGGAGAAGGAGACGTAGAAATGGACTAGGAAATGAGCCCAAAAGAGGGTGGCCTTAGCTAGATATAAGGGCAGGCTCCATGGCAGTGGTGAGGCAAACGGGAGTGGGAAGATGAAAATTGTCTCTACAAAAACCCAGAGCTTCCGGCCAGTGGCCCACACCTTTAATCCCCGCAGGAGGGAGGCAGAGGCAGGAAGATCTCTGTGAGTTCGAGACCAGCCTGGTCTACAAGAGCTAGTTCCAGGACAGCCTCCAAAGCCACAGAGAAACCCTGTCTCGAAAAAAACAAAAAACAAAACAAAACAAAAACAAAAACAAAAAAAACAGAGCTGTCCCCACTAAGGAGGGAGAGGTAGAAATAGG